TCTTATTGAAAAGATATGACAAGGCATCAAAGAAGAAAGACCACTTTGAGTGCCAGGCATCATCAAGAACTACAACGCAAACATGGGAGGTATCGACAAAAGTAACATGTTGGTCCATCTTTACAAAACGCCAATGAAATCAAAGCGTTGGTACATGCGGCTCTTTGCTTATGTTTTGGATGTTGCTGTTGTGAATGCATGGCTTCTTTACTGTCGTGATTGTAGGTCACTAAACATGCCATGCACACCACTGAAGTATTCAGGCTTGAGATCTCTGTCACTGCAAGATCCAAAGACAAAAGGTCAACCGCACCAGCATGAGACGAAAGTCCCAGATTCACCCAAATACTTCTTTGGTTCACAGTAATGACGATTTGTCAAACATGGAATACCCATCTGCATTTCAGTACCAAAGTGCAGAAAGGCCAGATGAATGTGAGGCGGGTTTAAAAGCTAGGGCCTGGCCAGTGCTAGGTAACTGCTTTCATGCAAGGGTTTCAGCAAAAAAATAATCATGTCACATCCTCATTTTGCTGTGCCCTATGTAAAGTAAATTGTGCATAAAGAAGGGTAGAAATTGTTTATGAAGTTTTTATTTGAAAATTAGGATGTGAAATGATTTTTTCTTTTTCAGGGAACCAGGAAAATTTCATTTGTAAGTTGCATCCCATTGCAATGTGTCATTGTTGTAAGTATTCCCATTTTTTTTTTTACGGTTAAAATTGTTCAGAACAAGTTCCATTTAGTTTTTTATATTGTCTACTTGTATAATAAAATTTAAAAAAATTTCTTTTTTGTTTTTTTTTTTTTAAAACAATGCAAAATTGAACATTTAAAATGGTATACCCCCCAAAAGGGGAGGACCAAAAACACTCGGGTTTTGAATATCTGCAATTGCGCAGTTTTATTTTTACAAATCTTTTTGGGGTGGTCTAGTGACCTTACATTGGTGGCCTATCCCCCCATAGGAAAACATTTCAAATTCACACTTTTGCTGCCTTGCCCCCTGAAAAAGGGGATTAAAAAGTCCAATGCTCCCTCCACTGCAGTTGCCAGTCTCCCCCCCACACCTAGATAAGGGAACCCCCCCCTAGCATACATGTCATCTCTGCCATAGAAGAGGTCCCAGTTGTCGATGAATGTTACCGCATTTTCCTTACAATATTTGTCCAGCCAGCAATTGACACCAATTGCCCTGGACAACCATTCATTTCCAACCCCTCTCCTTGGCAAAATACCACATATGAGAGGGTTCCCACCTTTACTTCTAATTATTTCTATTGCTGACCTATACCTGCTAATCAGGTCCTCACTCCTACGTCTGCCAACATCGTTGCCTCCAGCACTGAGACAGATAATAGGATTGCTCCCATTACCTCTCATGATGTCATCCAGACGGCTAACAATATCCTCCATCCCAGCCCCAGGAAAGCAAACTCTCTGTCTCCTACTCCTGTCCTTCAAGCAGAACGCCCTATCCATATACCTAACTTGGCTATCCCCAACAACAACAATATTCGTACCTTCCTTAATGTCTTTCGTCGTGACGTTCCCAGTATTCGACTCACATTCGTTGGGTAGCACTGAGAATGTATTGGATGTTTCCACAACAGTTTCCACGGCAGTCTCTTTCTTCTTTATCGTTTCTACCTTTCCATTCGTCTTCTTGATCGTCAACTTCTTTCCCTGCTGTCCAGCCACTGACCAGTTTCCCTTCTTGACCTGAGGACTCAAAACAGGAGGACTACTCCGAATCTTTTTGTTTTCCTCAGTCAGTCGCCGAATTTCCATATTCGCCAACCTCAATTCTTCCTTAAGCTGTTGGTAAAGTTGCTCGATGGAGGGCATCTTGCTTCAATTCTAGAGAGCGTGCAAACAGGTCTTCACAGAGCCAAGTACACGTCAACACTGCGCAAAAGCCAACTCAATCAGGAGCTACTGCGCAGCACGTCCGCACAGCCCAATAGCGATGCCGGATTAGTGAGTTTGTCAGATTACAGAGTGGTTAGGTTAGAATACACTTAATTAACCTATCAACAGAGACACTCTCTGCTACATCTTCCTCATTTTCATCACTGCTTTCTCCTCCACTGGCTTGCTACTGTGGATTTACAACCATTTGCACAATTTCTGAGTCAGTATAATGATGAAATTTGAGTTAGTATAATGATGAAATTTGAAATTATGCTATCCAAAATTAGTGCCGGATTACTGATGAACCCGGATAACTGATTGCCAGCCTGTACTCTAATTAGCTTTTTCCCTTATTAAGATGAAGTTAAGTGATGCATCTTTCTTAGTTTTCTGTTCAATCCACTCACTCAGTCATTTTTTGTCATATTTATCTGTTGTGATCAAGTCACAACTTGCATTACTCATTGCACAAGCTCTTATCTTCTCTTTCGTTTTAATTAGACAAACTGATGGTTCATTGAGACCATAGGCTCATGATATCCCCACCACACATTTACCATTAAGCTTATCTACTGTCTCTTTTTTCAAAACACCAAGACTTTCACATTTGAACTTCTTGCCACTTCTAGCATCACTCACAATCCTGTTAGTGCCATGGTTACTATCCAGACATGAGATATGATGATGAAAAAATCAGACATTGATTCACTAGCACAGAACTGAATACGTATAGTGTGGGATTTGTTTGCACAGAGAACTAAGGCATGGGAGGTTGTGTACATTAAGTGTGACTAGGCCTCCTCCATACGGCCAGTAGCCTGACCTGTGGACTGGCTACAAGGCAGAGGGAAAGTTCCCATGGTGTTTTGTATTTTTCCCCTAAATTTAAATGTTTAAATGATTGTCACGGTAATATGATTGAAAAGATAGCACAATGGAGCCTTGGTACTCGAACAGCTCTTTACTCGAACAATTTGATACTCGAACACTTTGTTTGGTAAAAAAAAAATCGCTTGATAGTCAACCATTGGCTTGGCACTCAACCAAACAAACACGACCTGCCAGAACATGTGTGTCAGTCTCCCTGCAGCTGTCGCTCAGTCCTGAACTCCACTGAACTTCACTGTAAACTATTTCATGTTTCTTCGTATTTTTTGGTGTTTTTTTTTTTTTTATATTTTTTCTTTTTTTCTTTCATTTTGTGTTTTTCTTTCTTTTTGAGTCACCTTGCATTGGTGGGAAATGGCTGATGTGTTAAAAGAAAAAAGTCATTATGGGGCCTAAGAAGATTAGGGATAACAGCCAGCCAAAAAGAAAATTGGTCAGAGCATGTATCCCCTGATGTGAACACGGCCCCCACCTCTCCATACAATATGGCTTTTATTATTAATTTTGGAGACTTTATTGTGCTTCTAGGTTATCTATCGTGTTTCTGCTATGAAGTTGGAATAAATGTGATAGATAACCTTTATTACTAATATTAGCATAATTACACAACATTATATTTCTTAAACATCAACAAAAATCAAACATTTCCACTACTTTGATCTTAATTTCAAGGTATTTTTAGTCTGTAAACCATTCCAAATCATCTCTATTTCTGTAATATGTCTTTCATTCTATCAAATGGGACAAAGAAAACGAGAATACAATCATAGATACCATACAAAATACACTGCAAAGTCACTCTAAGTGTATTTTTGGGGTCTGAAATGGATTAATCTAATTTACATTATTCCTTATGGGAAAAATTCATTCGGAACTTGAACAAATTGGTACTCGAACAGCCTTCTGGAATGAATTAAGTTCAAGTACCGAGGTTCCACTGCATTATTACATATGGAGAGGGATCACTAACTCCATAGGGGTCATATAGTACCTGGGGTAATGGAAGTGGCAATCAAGGTTGATTTAAGGAATCGGGGGATAGTGCCAGTTTTTTACGATGTTTTGCATTTCTCCCAGAATAACAGATCTAAGTTGTTCAGCCTTCCTTCATAACACAAGCCTTGTAGTCCTGACCAATGTGATTCTGGGGAGTCTGAGCTCCAAGTCCCTCCTTTTACCTTACAGTTGAATTGCTTTGTTGGTTCTTAATGTTAGGACCTATTTAATTTGCCCCTACATCTATGTATGAAGTTAACTTCTATCACTTATTCTCCTAACTTGATTCACATTTTTACTTTATTTAGGCTGGAGAAGAATTTCCTAACATTCATGTAACTCATCTGGGTTTTCAACTTCCATCTATACCTTTTTGTTTTTATGCCTCTTATTCAAACACTTATTATCCAAAACTCTCTGGCTGATTGCCTCCATTATTTTGTATATTTATTCTAATTTATACTTATTATGATTACATAGCGTGAGTGTCGTGGGTAAAGGACTGAAGATCAAACCTCTACCACTCTGTGTGCAATAACTTGTGATTTTTTATTGAGGGATCCTAATCCATCCGTATACTTAAAGGCATTCATTACATTATTCAATAATGAATAAGATTCTATCTCTATAGAATATATAGACTAATGTTGAATTGCAAATGGAGAACAGTATACTGTACATTACTTTTTTCAACAAACTGGCCATATCCCACCAAAGCAGGGTGATCCAAAAAGAAAAAAAGCCTTTCTTTAAAGAAACATTTAGTAATTTATACAGGAGAAGGGATTACTAGCCCCTTGCTCCCGGCATTATAGTTGCATCTTACGGAGGAAGAATTTTTCCACTTCCCCATGGAGATAAGAGGAAATAAAGAAGATCAAGAATTATTAAGAAAATAGAAGAAAACCCAGATGGCTGTGTATGTGCGTGTATGTATGTACATGTGTGGGATGACCTTAGTATAAGTAGAAGTAGCAAGATATACTTGTTATTCTGCATGTTTATGAGACAGAAAAAGACACCAGAAATCCTACCATCATGTACAACAATTACAGGTTTCTGTTTCACACTCGCTTGGCAGGACGGTATTACTTCTCTGGGTGGTTGCTGTTTTCCAACCTACTGCCTAGGTGTACATTACATATTTTAATGAAGTTGTAAATGTATTTTAATCTCCTAAACCATGATATTTTATTTTGTAGGTGAAACAAAGATGTCAGATCTGCTTTCAACAGAGGATCTTAAGCAGAGACTCCGCATTCAGTTTTCCAGGGCAAAACTTGGTCTCTTCACTCAGACTCCACCACACCAGGAGAATATTTTTGCTAATAATGCATTTCTTACATCCTATTTAACTCAGATTTTCCCAAAGGAAGTAAGTATAGTAGCTTATTGTTATTGTTGTTATTACATTCATTGGGAAATGCTAAACCCATAGGGATTATACAACACTTTGAGAAATGGGAGGTAATCAGGTCTGATTCGAGGGAAGATGGATATGTTCAATTCCTTGGATCAAAAGCTCCTCACTGGCAACAAGGCCTTTGAGGAAGTTTGGGGGGAGGGGTTATTTTTGTTAAAATTGAAATTATGATTTAGTTTGTTAAATATATTATGCTTGGAGAAACACGAAAATACAGTGGTACCCCGAGTTTCGAACTGCTCCCAGCTCAACCAATTATGTAAGTGTATTATTGTCAGTGCTTTTGTAAGTGTATTTTTGGGGGTCTGAAACAGACTAATGGAATGAAGAAAGTTCAAAACTCGGGGTACCACTGTACTTGATCTTGCCAAAAAAATTTCCAAGCCAATTATTAAACTGAATTAACAATTTTGTTTTATTTTACTAATTTGGTTTTATTTATGAATTTTTCTTGAGAAGTTCCACTTGTCTCTATAGCAGAGCCTAATAGGATAGAACAATTCTTTAGCTTCTTTTTCAGTTTTGTAAAATTTTTTAGACACTTTGTCTGGTAATTTAAGATGATAGCCTAGTCTTAGTAAATCCTTGACTGCTCAGTTAGTATTTTTTTTTTCCAGTGTTTTACAGAATTTAAAAATTATAAAGCGTTATGCCGAGAAATTTTTTTATTGATTGTCTTTCAAATTCTTACTGAAATGCTAAGCTGTACCTAATCTTTTTTAACTAATTCAAGAGAAGCTTCAGATTAAATTCATCATTAAACATGGCTGTACAGTATATAGTCGGAAGCAAGGTTACCCACAGCATGTTAATTTACAAGTGGCATTAGTAAAATAAGGAAAAAAAAGTAGATTCAATTTCAGTATTTTATAATTCAGACACATCATCGATTTTTGGACACCCTTGGTTCCTAGACTTTGCTGATGTATATCGGTTTTGCTGGACCATCAGAGGTCATATAATAATAATTCAATAATACACCTCTGACCCTCCATGGTCTGTTGGAAACTTAAATTAAACATTAGCATAAATGAAACAGGTTTATTGATTACTGTACTTACAAAGAATGTTACAGTATTACTACTCCTAAGTGGTAAATTTTAGAATTTTACTGGAGCTGCTGAATTAATCATTAATCCATATCTAGGGTTATTTATTATTTATTTATTATCACACTGGCCGATTCCCACCAAGGCAGGGTGGCCCGAAAAAGAAAAACTTTCACCATCATTCACTCCATCACTGTCTTGCCAGAAGGGTGCCAGAAGGGTTATTTAATGTTAGTAAAATATGTTAAGAATTACACAGAATCAATGGATCACCATCAGCAGCTTTAGGGTAAACAATATAAGTGAGCATACACACTATGTACAATGCTATCTATGGCTGCCAGGTAAACTCTTTTTGGCAAAAAAAGTAGTCTTATAATTTTGTCCGAGCTAAGAGAGGTGCCGGATGATCTGTTGCTGGTAAATCAGTGTTGTACTTGTACAGGTCGGCCATCACTAATCCAGCAGTCAGTTATCCAGTTCCATCAGTAATCCAGCATTAATTTTGGCTAGCATAATTTCAAATTTCATCATTATACTGACTCAGAAATTGTGCAGATGGTTGTAAATCCACAGCAGGAAGCCAGTGGAGGAGAAAGCAGTGATGAAAATTAGGAAGATATAGCAGAGTTTCTATTGATAGGTTAATTAAGTGTTTTCTAACCTAACCACTCTTTTATCCAGCAATCTCACTAATCCGGCACACTACAGGTCCCAATGATGCCAGATTAATGATGACTGACCTGTACTGTAAAAGGATACTATGTATTTTCCCATGCAACATTAGACATATTAATTTCCTACTGCAGGAAAATCAAGTGTCATAGGAAATAATTGCTGTTTTTTTTTTTTTTGTTTTTATAATTCTTCTGGTGTTGTAACTGTAGGCTAGTTATTGAGGCTGAGCATAATATCTGAAAACTGTATAATAGTCTTTATAAATACACTGAAGTACTTGATAGAGTACAGTACTACAATTTATCTTGTATGATTGTATTTCTGCAAGGTTTCAGGTATGTCTTGCTATTTCTTCTTACACTTATGTCACACTATACATACATGTACAAGCATATATATACACACCCCTCTGGGTTTTCTTCTATTTTCTTACTAGTTCTTGTTCTTGTTTAATTCCTCTTATCTCCATGGGGAAGTGGAATAGAATTCTTCCTCCGTAAGCCATGTGTGTCATAAGAGGTGACTAAAATACCAGGAATGGGGCTAGTAACCCCTTCTGTATGCATTACTATATTTAAAAAGAAAAACTTTCATTTTTCTTTTTAGGTCACCACTACCTTGGTGGGATATGGCCAGTTTGTTGAAAAAAAAAGAAAAAAAATTATTTCTGTATGTATTGTACTTAAAGGTTTTGAAAACTAATATGAAATTATCTCCATTTTAGGTCCACAACGCTGTATGGGCTGACTTGATTCGCTTTGGTCATAGGGCAGTAACAGATATATACCCCTTAGGAAGGGAATGTGAACTCAGCCAGCCTTATGTTCGAGCCTTTGATGCTTGGGGTAACAGAACTGATGATCTGGGTAGGTCTGTTTGTTGATGCTTAGAGATATACAGGATTAAAATTGGTTATTAATAGAAATTGCCTCTTCTAATTTTTTTTAATTTACACTTGCATTTTATATCCCAAACCCCTCCTTTAAAGTGCAGCCAATGGGGAGTACACTGCCTGCACTTTAAAGGAGGGGTTTGGGATATTGGCAGTTTGGAGGGATATGTTATATATCTTTATATATGCTTCGTAGACAGTAGGTTGGTAGACAGCAACCACCCAGGGAGGTACTTCCGTTCTGCCAAGTGAGTGTAAAACGAAAGCCTGTAATTGTTTTACATGATGGTAGGATTGCTGGTGTCTTTTGTCTGTCTCATAAATATGCAAGATTACAGGTATGTCTTGCTACTTCTACTTACACTTAGGTCACACTAAACATCAATGTACACGTTTATTTATACACACTCATCTGAGCTTTCTTTGATTTTATCTTAGTTCTTGTTCTAATTACTTTTCCTTTTATATCCATGGGGAAGTGAAATAAGAATCTTTCCTCCGTAAGCCATGCGTGTTGTAAAAGTCAACTAAAATGCTGGGAACAATGGGCTAGTAACCCCTTTTCCTGTAAAAATTACTAAAAAGAATAAGAAGAAAATTGTCAAAGTGGGAAGTCTGAATGTGAGTGGATGTTGTGCAAATGATAAGAAAGAGATGATTGTGGATGTTATGAATGAGAAGAAGCTGGATATCCTGGCTTTAAGTGAAACAAATCTGAAGGGGGTGGGTGAGTTTCAGTGGAGAGGAATTTATGGGATTAGGTCAGGGGTTTCTAATAGAGTTAGATCTAAGCTAAAGAAGAAGTAGCAATAAAGTTGAAGGATAAGCTATGGCAGGAAAAGAGGGACTATAAATGTATTAATTCAAGGATTATGTGGAGTAAAATAAAGGTTGGATGTGAGAAGTGGGTTATTGTGAGCGTTTATGCACCTGGGGAAGAGAGAAGTATAGAGGAGAGAGAGAGATTTTGGGAAATGTTGAGTAATTGCGTGGGGAGTTTTGAACTAAGTGTGAGAGTACTTGTGGTTGGGGATTTTAATGCTAAAGTGGGAAAAAATGTTGTGGAGGGAGTAGTAGGTAAATTTGGGGTGCCAGGGGTAAATGAAAATGGGGAGCCTTTAATTGAGCTATGTGTAGAAAGAGGTTTGGTAATAAGTAATACATATTTTATGAAAAAGAGGATAAATAAATATACAAGGTATGATGTAGCATGTAATGAAAGTAGTTTGTTAGATTATGTATTGGTGGATAAAAGGTTGATGGGTAGGCTCCAGGATGTACATGTTTATAGAGGGGCAACTGATATATTGGATCATTATCTAGTTGTAGCTACAGTTAGAGTAAGAGGTAGATGGGATAAGAGGAAAATGGGAACAACAAGTAAGAGGGAGGTGAAAGTGTATAAACTAAGGGAGGAGGAAGTTCGGGCAAAATAAAAGCAACTATTAGCAGAAAGGTGGACTGGTGCAGGTATGAGTAGTGGGGGGGTTGAAGAGGGTTGGAATAGTTTTAAAAATGCAGTTATTAGAATGTGGGGCAGAAGTTTGTGGTTATAGGAGGGTGGGTGCAGGAGGAAAGAGGAGTGATTGGTGGAATGATGATGTAAAGGATGTGATAAAAGAGAAAAAGGTACCTTATGAGAGGTATTTACAAAGCAGAAGTGTTATAAGAAGAGTAGAGTACAGGAGGGCCCCACTTATACGGCAGGTTAGGTTCCAGGCTACCGCCGTAAAGCGGAAATCGCCGTAAAGTGGAACACCCTTTTTTTCCACTTATAAATGCATACAAACACTAGATAACAAGTTTACACTAACATATATTAAGTTAGCAATAGAACCAGGCATCAAAAAACAATAAAAAAGTACAATACACACATAGTGCACTCATTACTTACCTTAAAATATTTAGTCTTAATCTAGGGTGAGACAAGTAGTATTTATTGTAAGAAATCAAGTGTGGTACGTATGGTAATAGCCAGGCTACCTTACCAGGCCACCCCACCCACACATACTATTCTATGATATTTAAGCATCCCAGAGCGATAAAATGTATATACAGTTCACTCATTACTTACCTTAAAATATTTGTAGTCTTAATGTAGGGTCAGGAGTAAGTAAATGAGATAAAATGAATAAATGAGAGAGAGAAAGAATGAGTACATGAGAGGGGGCAGGCCAGAGTTATGTAAACAAACCAGGCGAAGGTAAGTTTTGTAAACAAACGAAGTGTACACATCTGGTTTGTGTACAAGTTACATTGTGTACAGGTTGTCTGTACATTGATACGGTAGAATTAATAAAGAAGAACACTCCCATTCTCATGTAACATCATTTTGAGAAGAAATGAAGCTCTGAGTGAAGGCAATGGAAATAAGTCACACTGACTTTTTTGGGTTATCCTAGGTTCTCTACACGTATGTTGTTATGTATGATAATCTATGTAACTGTATTTGTGTATACCTGAACAAACTTACTTACATACATACGAAAGGAATAATTTTCTACAGTTACCCCCAGTAACACATTTTCTCTTATGTTAGATTAGAGAAAATGTTATTCTTGCCGTCACTTGTACAAGTTATGTGGCTCCCACATCTTATATTTATGTTTATTTATTCTATTGTGTGGGGTGTATTTATCATCTTTTTATGTTATGTATCGTGTTTATTATATAATTTAAAAAAAATATCATGGATGGATTAATGAAAATGTGTATATTAACGTAATATACGACATTTAATGAGACTCGGTGAGTATTGTTATTATTATCATTTCTAATATGGCGTCACTTGTGCAAGTCGTCTGCTACCACATCTCACATTTATGTTTATTTATTCTACTGTGGGGTGTATTTATCTTATTTATATGTTATGCATCGTGCTTATTATATAATTTTGAAAAAAATATCATGGATGGATTAATGAAAATGTGTATATTACCGTAATATACGACATTTAATGAGACTCGGTGAGTATTGTTATTATTATCATTTCTAATATGGCGTCACTTGTGCAAGTCGTCTGCTACCACATCTCACATTTATGTTTATTTATTCTACTGTGGGGTGTATTTATCTTATTTATATGTTATGCATCGTGTTTATTATATAATTTTGAAAAAATATCATGGATGGATTAATGAAAATGTGTATACTAATTGGATTTACATTAATTCTTGTGGGAAAATGTTATTTCGGTTTTCAGCCTTTTCGGTTTTAGGACAACCTTTTGGAACAGATTACGGCCGATAACCGAGGGTCCACTGTACATATTTTGTCCTGCCTCTTGAGAGCAGGAATTCTGCTGGAACAGATTAATGGCATTTCAGTTAAATAAAAATGAGGAAAATTGATTTGATATACAAGCAGATTGAGTTACGAGCTAGGTCACAGAACGGATTAAGGGGGGGAAGTGAGGGATTTTTTCAGCGCTCTCAAGAAAAATTCGAAAATTTATGAAAATGAGTTATTCATATAGAAAAATAGCTTAACTCTTTGGCAACACAATGGTACAAGAATCAATGTTCTACAACGTTTCTACAAGAAATTATAGTCATTTATATCAGGTATGGTGGCGGCGATGTAGGTAGCGCGTCTGTTCTCAACCTATGTATTTTTTGGAATTTTTTCCTTGTTTTTTATCGCTTTTTCTTTGCATTATTCTTTCTAATATAATAATTGATTATTTGGCATCATATAAGAGTAGGTGGAGCTTATCAATAGACGTCTAGCCTATCGGGAAGCACCTGGGTACACTCGGCAGTGATCCCTCTCCAGAGAGTGCCAGGTGAAATCATTTCATTATTACGCTTATATCAGCTTATATATTAACTATACGGCTTATTTATCTATCAGAATTGATCTAATATGATATAATAATCACTGTAAATAACAAACAAACATGTTATATACTCTAGACTGAATAAAATAGGCCATAATATAGCGAGAGTCGACCAGCAATATTTCGATATAAAAAAGTTACTCCTCGTCTCCATGTTGTATTGTTTGGTCTGTGAGTGAGAGAAAACGATGTTTTGAAGAGGATAACTGCACTAGAACATCAGTTTACTAAGAAATACACCGAAACAAACGCGATTTTCGCGAAAAAAGAAAATTTTTTTTTTGACGGTAGGCCTACCGGCGTTCTAGGCCTATGTCTCGGAAGTAACTTATTCACTTATTTCGCGGACCTGAACCATTATTAATGATTGTATTGAAATGATTTTCACAGACAATATAAAACAAAGTGTGTTTTAATTTTTAATGTTGGATTTTTTGGAATATCTCAAATATTTTTGATTTTGTGGGGGGTAAAAGGCAGATATTTTGGTGAATGCCAAATATTCTGTCAAATGTATTTTTTTTTACCATGATAATAAGATATATTAGATGAAATGGCAACGTAAAAGATTCGTGCTAGTTGTATTCTAACAGTTGGGAATGTCGGAAGTGCCACTCGTAGTGCCAATTTGTCAGGGGATGCTGCCATATATCAAAATTATGTTAATATTTTTTTTCTATGTTGTTTGTTGGCCAATCATACTGAAACTTTGTCACATTAAACTATATATGCACCTCTAAAAGTACACCAAAAATAAAATAAATCGGTTGAAAACAAAAAAAAAAAAAATATAATCCCTCTCCCTCCTTAAACTTGTCAGTCGAGGTTCCACTGTATATACATGTTATGGTGGCGGCTGGGCATTCGCGAATGTTCGAAGCTTGCGAAAGTGGAACTCGCAAAAGTGGAGGGCTAGCTGTAGTGCATATTATCTTTCTTACTTCAGAGCCTGCATTTCTTTTAGGGAGAAACAGGTAAATTTTCTTCATTAATAAAAAATTTATGTATGGACTGTAAAAAATGTTTTTGCTAATATAGACCTTAGAAGCCTATCACAGTACACTGTAGTATAATGAAGAATTAGTATAGCAGGGTATAGTAAGCTACAGCAACTATAATATAACAAATACTGTGTGACCAATGAAAGTAAATAACTTACAGTACTTCATGTTTAATGTACACTTATTTTAGTGCTTGCATATTGAATAAACTTGATGAGTATATTAACACTAGTAGTAAAAACATTCTTAATCATTTAGGTGTCTCGTAGCTGGATTGCTAGCACACTGGGCTCTCACACTGAGGTCCGGGGTTCGAATCTCTTCCAGTACAGCTGGAAAACATTAGGGATGTGTTTCCATAAAACACCTGCTGTCCCTGTCCCTGTTCACCCATCAGTTTAAAATGGGTACCTGGGTGTTAGTCGACTGGTTTGGGTCACATCCTGGGACAAAACTGATCTAATTTGCCTGAAATGCTCAGCATAACAAGGGGCTTTCTATATAGTAGTATGTCATTGATGTCAGCTAGGCCTGTATACCATGTACATGTACTTGTAGTAAATAAAAACATTATATTATTATTATACAGTATTATAAGTCAGTAATGCTTTTTCATAGTTACTTGTCAAGCTTGGAAGGACCTCAAGAAAATCTCTGCAGAAGAGGGCTTAATTGCTTCGGCTTATGAAGGAAAATATGGTGAATATGATCGTCTGTACCAAATGGTGAAGCTTTACATCTTCTCACCTGTTTCGGGTCTCTACTCCTGTCCTTTAGCAATGACAGATGGTGCTGCGAAAACAGCAAAGGTGTGTATCAGCCACATCATGCTGTGTTGCTTATTATTATACAGTGAAACCCCAGTGTCCACAGATTTGGTATATGTGGTTTCAGTTATCCTAGGTTTACTTTGGCCCAAAAATAACCCATAATTTTACTTAATAGTGGCCCCAAAGCACAAAAGTAGTGATGTTGGCCATTTTTCAAAGCTTAAGAGAAGCCGTGAAATGCTTCCCATCAGTGAAAAAGTACTAATTCTAGACTTATTTTGCATAATCAATCAGTCAGACTTTATCATAGGTATGTATGTAAGCAAAAAATGACTTATACTATCCACGGTTTCAGGTATCCGCACTAGGTCTTGGAACATGTCCCCCAGCGGATATGGGGGGCCTACTGTATACGGTGTTACGAGGAATATACATATATTTTAGTTTTAGCTATTCATTTAAATATTAGGAAAAATTACATGATTCTGAATAAGCTCTAAAAAATCTTTAAAATAAGTGTACTGTACTGTATTACCAATTGTAAAACAGCAGCTTAGTTTTGAAATGGCAGTCTATTTCTATCTGTTCTTCCAATTTTTCACTGCTTTATATTGCACACACTCTTTGGAGTGAGTATAACTCCCTCTCCACTTCATATGTAACACTTGTTCTGAAGACCTTTCTCTACTGAAAAGATTGTTACTCTCTAGGATCCAGTCTTTTAAAAATGGATTATGCAAAGTATTGTTCAGTACATTAAATGAGTCTTGTAATCTCTTTTTAATAAAGTGGATAAAAGGATAAGTTTCAGAAGGGTCTTTAAACAGATGTTACAGTGGCATTCATTTTCATTTTTGTTATTTAGTCGGAAATATTTGATAGAGGCTTTAAAGCTAACTTTATGCTATGTTATCTTGAGAATGGTTACCATTTGAAAACAGAATAAAATCCCCACCTGTGTAAATGCAGGATTAATGATGAATCCTTCATCAATGAGGAAAGTAGATTTGTGTTTAGTTTTTTCTTTAATTTATAACTTTATTTTCTGTGGAGTTAGAAATTCTGGTACTGTATCAAGTTCCATGGGAATATTACAGAATAATTATTATGTTGATAATTTTTCTTTTTTGTTCATCAGATGATAACTTCAGATCACCTGCAGGAAGCTTATCAGCACCTTACCTCACGGGATCCACAAAAATTTTGGACATCAGGTCAATGGATGACGGAGAAGCGGGGTAATTTCTTCTGTTACGATAGTGAATTATTATTGTACACATTCATTATCACTTCCCAGAAATTGACTTGAGTAGCATCATATAATTTAGTTGTGTATCATCTATTAAAAAATTTAGGTACTCATTTAGTTTCTTAGTCTATTTTGGTTCTTTCTGTATATTAATTTTGTGCTTTGAGCTTGAAATATTTCTTTGTTTGTCTTTTTAATTCTGCCAAACAATATGACATTGTTATGACTTATTTATCATTAATTTTCCAATTATTTGAAGCAGTTTGTTACTTGAAATGTTTATGCTCCATTATGTTGCATTGTGCAATTTCTCATCTTATTACAGAACAGAAGTTGGAAATGAAAAACTTGGACAATGTTTTGGACTGTCTTAAAGCATTATCAAGTTGAATGTAATGATTCAGGATGGACTGAAATGTCTTTGGATTTATTTGCAAGTTTTGTACTTTTTTTGTAATGTGTGCTTAGTCTGGCATCTTTCTGAATATATTTATAATTGACGTAGTACTGTTCTTTGCTTTGGAAGCACAGAACAAATATCTTTTGTAGTTACCTTAATTAATACAGGGTGTCCAAAAAAACACTCCCTGATTTCAAACAGGTATAACATGTAACTTTATTATTACAATCTTTCACAGTTAGTAGTTTCAGATGCAGGATTTCATTCAGTTTCATGTGGTATAGGGTAGCATTAAAGGCACTCAATGTGTGTTCCTCTGGTTGCTCGGCAAACATTGATGCGATAGTCCAGTTCAGTCCAGACGCTCTGCAGCACAGTTTACATACCACCACTACCTGCAACCCTGGAGGAGCTGAAAATTTCGATCACTGAAGCAGTTCGCATGATAACTCCAGATATGCTGCAGAGCTTCTGGACTGAACTGGACTATCTCTTTGCTGAGCAACCAGAGGGACACACATTGAGTGACTTTAAAGCTGCCCTATACCACATGAAACTGAATGAAATTCTGCATCTGAAGCTACTAACTGTGAAAGATTATTACAATGAAGTGACATATTATACCTGTTTGAAATCAGGGAGTGTTTATTTGGACACCTTGTATATTCATTAGAGGTCAAAATCACATGGCCTGGACAAAAATAGTAAAGTTTTTGCTTCATCTGCTGAATTATGTTAGCCTTGAATGGTGGTACCAGATGATATCTTCTGTAATAGTTTCTGTGGGGTGGCAGGCTATTTCCAGAACCTGATACATAGGGTATGTTTAAAAAATTATATCATAATTCATCCTGTTCTCCAATTAGGCAAGCCAGTGTCACGAATTGCCCTTCGTACATTTCTGCCTCCACGAAATGGGCTGGAAATATAAAAAAACAGTTTTTTTTTTTTAACACATCGGCCATTTCCCACCAAGGCAGGGTGGCCTGAAAAAGAAACACTTTTATTCTCAGATTAATTTGTATTAATTTACATATCTGCATAATTACCAGATAATAAATAAAAAGTGGGCTTATGTCTGGCAGCACCAGGCATGTTATTCCATTTAATGCCTATAATTTATCACTAATGATAAAAGTTTTTGTGGATAAGCTGTATAATCATGTATCATAATTGTGCCTAGGTGGATCAGATGTCAGTGGATCAACAGAGACTGTCGCTCTGGAGCAGCCTGATGGCACTTACCAGCTGTTTGGATATAAATGGTTCAGCTCTGCCACTGATGCTGATATGGCACTGACTCTAGCTAATATTATCTCTGAAGATCAACCTGAGCCAGTAAGAAATGAACTTCTGCTGGGATTTTTTTTTTGTTGTTGTTGTACATGCATTCATCTGTCTGCCTATCTTACATATGCATGGACATGTGTTTGTCCATCTGTACAAATGTATGGACATATGTCTATATATATGTAAAGATGTATGCGTGTATCTTTTCATACCTTATTCAAGTGTGATTGCATTTATACATATGTATATAGTGATATGTGCCTGTCTTTATTTATATATGTATACTCTCATGTTGATGTATGCATATGTATAGCCATTGTGTTTGCATTTACATATACGTGTACAGGTTGACCATCACTAATTCGGCATCATTGGGACCTGCAGGGTGCCGGATTAGTGATTTTGCTGGATCACAAAGTGGTTAGGTTAGAATACGCTTAATAAAGGTTAACCCTTTGAGGGTCCATCCTATAGTTCTACTGCTTTGAAGCCTGGGTTCAAGCCATAGAAATATGGCTTGAGCTCGGCTCACTCAGGTTAACTGGAAGTGGTAAATTTGGGCCTACATATGAGAGAATACATACACCTATGTGGTAAGTGTGCACCAAATAAGACAAATACTGCAGCATGCAGTGCATAATGAGAAAAAAGCTGCAACCATATTTTTGGATTAAAACAGTGACTTTGTGGTATTTTTTCACATGTTTTTTACAGTGGTATTTGCAACTTCTTGGTCTCATTTGATAGAATGGAAAATATGTTACAGAAATAGAGATGATTTTGATTGGTTTTAGTACTGAAAATGGCTTCAAACTGAGTTCAGAGTAGCGGAAATGTTAAATTTTTTGCCGATGTTCAAGAGTAAACAAATGATGTCATGCATCTAATACACATCAGTTGGTGGGTCTGATATACATTCACGAATGTGCTGGTATTATTTATACAATTATTACAATATTGCATAACAGTAAATCTATTTTTTGGCGTGAATAAAAATTCATTATGTGAATATAAAATCAAAATGGAATTCACTTGTAAAGCCTGAGAAAATAACTAACAAACAGAAGATATATTAGTTTAGTGTCAGGAATGCCTGCATTGTTTATTCTGGACCCTATTTTGAAATTAGAATATTTTGAACTTTGTGTTAAATTGGCCAAATTACCAATTTCTGATCACTTTATTGGGTAGTTGAGACAGTTAGCCTAAACCACTTCATCAGAACTTGACCTAGTTCTGAACTTTTTCCTTAATTCTTTTCCTTTTACACATCTGTTTCTTTGAATCACTGTTAGCAAAGAAACTCATTAATTTTTCTTTTCTTTTCTTGATGTCATAAACTGTCAAAGAGCCAGTGCCGTATAATTTACAAAAGCTTTTCATAGGCACACTGCTGTTGAGTTTTTTCAGAGGTTCAACCTTATCTTTTATGGACAATATACAGTGTTTACGCTTTACACAACAAAAAACATTTCCTTTATTCAATGGAGCCATGGCTAGGGGACTAAAAGTAAGCAGATTATAACAATAAATGGAGAAAAACAAATTGGAATGAATTATGCAGCAAGTAGCGCCACCAAACAGTAACGACAGGTTTGTGCGGCGACCCGGGAAATTTTAAATTATGCTAGCTGAAATTATTGCCAGATTAGTGATTGAACTGGATTAGTGATTGCCGGATCAGTGATGGCTGACCTGTACCGTATGTGGACACACATGTTTGTTTTTACTTACTCATTTTCACCTGTTTAAAGTATTTTTTACACAAGTAGTCATTATTTGAAAGTGATTACAATAATGATGTGCTGAAACTACCTGTTTGGACCTTTTTAAATAATGTAAATGCAATGTGTAGTTTGACGTAGGTTCTCATTTGGCTCATGTACAGTAAAGTGCTTAATTTTCTTTTTAAATTTGTAAAGATATAAAAAATTTATTTTTTTAACAAACTGGACATATCCCACCAAGGCAGGGTGGCCCAAAAAGAAAAACAAAGTTTCTCTTTTTAAATTTAGTAATATGTACACAAGAAGGGGTTACTAACCCCTTGCTCCTGGCATTTTAGTCACCTCTTATGACACACATGGCTTATGGAGGAAGAATTCTGTTCACTAAGATTTTGAAATTACTGTACATGTACTATATACGTATTTATTTTACAGTTCTTATTCAAAACTGAGAGCTGGTTTCACACATTCATGATACATAAGTACAAGGTTTAAAAATATTCTGGAGCTTGTATGACCTACACTGTTTTGATTTTTCCATGGGAAAGTGGAACAGAATTCTTCCTTTGTAAGCCATATGTATCGGAAGAGACAACTAAGATGCTGGGAGAAAGAGACTAGTAACCCCTTCTCCTGTGTAAATTACTAAATTTAAAGTGTGACTTTGTCAATGGTCCAAGTCGGACCGAAACGTCGTCGTAAGCTTCTCTCTTTTATGTGCAGGTTATTTGTGTATCGTTCCAGTCACCCTGCCTCGGTGGGATATGGCCAGTTCATTGAAAAAAAGAAAGGATTTACAAAACTGACCCCTCTGCATGATTACTTGGCGTTTTATATTTCAAATGATGATATTTCATTATTTATGTTTCAGAAACCTCGAGGATTGACAATGTTTTACTTAGAAACAAGGAGAGAGGATGGCAAACTGAATGGCATTGAAATTGTTAAATTAAAGAATAAATTGGGTGAGCATAGCTGTTGTTCACACTACAATGATTTTCTGTTTGTTGTAATGTAAGAAATCTCTTTCATAATTGCTGTGAGATACAATGAAGTACATATTCACTCGCTAGCAAGAAACTTATTCACGATTCCCTTAATGCACTGAAGTTCATCATCTTGCACCCCACTTTAATCAGTTGTTGTCATATTGCAGGTGTGAAGAGTGAACTCTTTTACCCTCAGTATGGAGAAGTATGAGTAATAAGTTAATAAGTTAATAAGTAATAAGCAGGGGGGGATATAGTGTTGGAGTGGTTGGTACTTTTGTTTAATAAATGTATGAAAGAGGGGAAGGTACCTAGGGATAGGCGGAGAGCATGTATAGTCCCTTTATATAAAGGGAAGGGGGACAAAAGAGATTGTAAAAATTATAGAGGAATAAGTTTACTGAGTATACCAGGAAAAGTATACGGTAGGGTTATAATTGAAAGAATTAGAGGTAAGACAGAATGTAGAATTGCGGACGAGCAAGGAGGTTTCAGAGTGGGTAGGGGATGTGTAGATCAAGTGTTTACATTGAAGCATATATGTGAACAGTATTTAGATAAAGGTAGGGAAGTTTTTATTGCATTTATGGATTTAGAAAAGGCATATGATAGAGTGGATAGAGGAGCAATGTGGCAGATGTTGCAAGTATATGGAATAGGTGGTAAGTTACTAAATGCTGTAAAGAGCTTTTATGAGGATAGTGAGGCTCAGGTTAGGGTGTGTAGAAGAGAGGGAGAATACTTCCCGGTAAAAGTAGGTCTTAGACAGGGATGTGTAATGTCACCATGGTTGTTTAATATATTTATAGATGGGGTTGTAAAAGAAGTAAATGCTAGGGTGTTCGGGAGAGGGGTGGGATTAAATTATGGGGAATCAAATTTAAAATGGGATTTGACACAGTTACTTTTTGCTGATGATACTGTGCTTATGGGAGATTCTAAAGAAAAATTGCAAAGGTTAGTGGATGAGTTTGAGAATGTGTGTAAAGGTAGAAAGTTGAAAGTGAACATAGAAAAGAGTAAGGTGATGAGGGTATCAAATGATTTAGATAAAGAAAAATTGGATATCAAATTGGGGAGGAGGAGTATGGAAGAAGTGAATGTTTTCAGATACTTGGGAGTTGACGTGTCGGCGGATGGATTTATGAAGGATGAGGTTAATCATAGAATTGATGAGGGAAAAAAGGTGAGTGGTGTGTTGAGGTATATGTGGAGTCAAAAAACGTTATCTATGGAGGCAAAGAAGGGAATGTATGAAAGTATAGTAGTACCAACACTCTTATATGGATGTGAAGCTTGGGTGGTAAATGCAGCAGCGAGGAGACGGTTGGAGGCAGTGGAGATGTCCTGTTTAAGGGCAATGTGTGGTGTAAATATTATGCAGAAAATTCGGAGTGTGGAAATTAGGAAGGTGTGGAGTTAATAAAAGCATTAGTCAGAGGGCAGAAGAGGGGTTGTTGAGATGGTTTGGTCATTTAGAGAGAATGGATCAAGTAGAATGACATGGAAAGCATATAAATCTATAGGGGAAGGAAGGGGGTAGGGGTCGTCCTCGAAAGGGTTGGAGAGAGGGGGTAAAGGAGGTTTTGTGGGTAAGGGGCTTGGACTTCCAGCAAGCGTGCATGAGCGTGTTAGATAGGAGTGAATGGAGACGAATGATACTTGGGACCTGACGATCTGTTGGAGTGTGAGCAGGGTAATATTTAGTGAAGGGATTCAGGGAAACCGGTTATTTTCATATAGTCGGACTTGAGTCCTGGAAATGGGAAGTACAATGCCTGCACTTTAAAGGAGGGGTTTGGGATATTGGCAGTTTGGAGGGATATGTTGTGTATCTTTATACGTATATGCTTCTAAACTGTTATATTCTGAGCACCTCTGCAAAAGCAGTGATAATGTGTGAGTGTGGTGAAAGTGTTGAATGATGATGAAAGTATTTTCTTTTTGGGGATTTTCTTTCTTTTTTTTTGGGTCACCCTGCCTCGGTGGGAGACGACCGACTTGTTGAAAAAAAAAAAAAAAAAAAAAAAAAAAAAGTGAGGATATCATCACACCTCACTATACACTATTGAGGACTTTATTCCATTTCACTTAACTAGGTACACACAGACTGGTCTTATACACAAATTAAAAGTGAGGAAACTGAATACTATATTTGACACGATTACAATTTTTTTTTTAACACACCGGCCATCTCCCATTGACGAAACAAAAGTTTTTCTTTTTATTACATTTAGTAATTTATACAGATTAGCCAGACTTGAATCTTGGAGGTGGGAAGTACAGTGCCTGCACTCTGAAGGAGAGGTGGGGATACAGTATTTGCAGTTTTGAACAGTAGTATTGGTGCCCCTCTGGCAAGACAGTGATGGTGTGAATGATGGTGAAAGTATGAAAGTATTTTTTCTTTTTTTTTCTTTTTTGGTCACTCTACCTTGGTGGGAGATGGTTGGTAAAAAAATTATAAAGGAGAAGGAGTTACTAGCCCATTGTTCCCAGCAGTTTAGTTGCCTCTTATGACATGAGTTATAGAGAAAGGATTCTTCTCCACTTTCCCATGGAGTATTACAGTTTATTAATACTTAATATTACAACAGTTCTCCATGGGCAAATGGAACAGAATTCTTCCTCCATAAGCCATGCGTCTCTTAAGGGGAGACTAAAAATGTCTAGAGCAAGGGGCTAGTAACCCCTTCTCCTATATAAATTATTTTAAATTTAAAAAGAAAAGCTTTAGTTTTTTTTTTTTAAAAATTTTAGTTTTTCTATTACAAATCCCCTTTTCCCTTGGGGGGAACAGCCATTTCAAAAAAAAATGATTACAAAATACATATTTTTGGTTAAAGAGAAAAGGGATCTGAAAATTTAAGATAACGAGAAGTTCCCAAGATAATTGAGATAAGGGAATGCAAAAATACTGACTCCTTTGGGCCTTTCACTTACCAAACAAAAAAAAAAATAGTCCTTTGGGTAAATCACTCTAAAAGGGCTAGTCGGGTTCCAACCTAAGTCCCCAAGACATGACAGAGCTTTAGGCTGTTTTCAGCAGCCTGGCCCCCAAAATCCCCCCACACAGCCCCCCAAACACTGTGCCCAACCAAGTCTTCTTTAGCTACTTTTCCGGGGCTTAAAAAGGCCTCCATAACCCCCAAAAATTACTTGGTAAGAGGTCAATTTTTGGGTGGAAAACAAAACCAAGTGGGACTCCCCGACAAAACTAAAAGTGTAAAAATTAGCGGGGAATTAGCCCCTTTTTGATCCCTTTGGTTAAAAACAAAAGCTGGAACCCAGCTAAAGAAATCACATTGCTTCCTGAAATTTGAAATGTATAAAAAATTTGAGTCCTTTTTTTTATTTTTGGGTACTTATAAAAAACATAAGAAAGACGGAACCTATAGCGGGCCCCCCACGACCCATGCCATGCGGGGCCAAATTTTTCCCCCACTGGTTTAAAGGGTAATGCTTTGACCTATTTCAGGCCAGCATATTCTTTTAAAGGGAGGAGCACTGCATCTTACCCTAGAAAGACAACCCTAGTCAGGCCCAAAATCAGCCCTACGCCCCAACCCACCCTTTGCTTTTTATCAAACCCTTTTTTTTTTTGGAAACTACACACCTTTTTTACTTCTTTGACAGTATTTGGGGAGTTTTTTCCCCACTCATCCACAACTCTACCCCCAAAACCAGGGGCTTTCCATACCCTTTCCTTTAAATCAAAAATTTTTCCCAATTTAAAACCTTTCTGCGACCCCTTCAATGCTTGATATTTTTTAGCATGCTATTTACTTTCCCCTTTTTTAATTTCCCTGTTTCCATTTATAAAACCTCAGTCAAATTTCCCCTAATTCTAGGCCTTTTTAGAGGGGTGAAAGATTCGGGGCCCTCATCAAACCTAAAGGGGGAAGTTTTTCTGATACATGGGAAAACTTTGTCATCACCCTTTTGGGACATTTTCCTTGCATTTAATCCTTTCTGTAATACGTCCCCAAAACCCTGTCAGCATAATCTAATGAACCAAACCAAAAAAAAATATGGGTTTGGAAGAACAACCTGGGGACTTCTATTTTTTTATACTTCTTGATGGGAACCCAAAGGGTTTCTTTTAAAACTTTTTTTTGGGCGAACACTTTTTTGTACTTTTTTTCCCTTGGGTTCAGATTACTGCAACCACAATTTCCCAAAAACCCCTTTTTGCAACCGGGAATATTAAATCTATATTTTTATTTTTTGGGGTGTGCATTTATTTATTTAGCCAAGTTTTGAAAAAAAACTATAAAAAAAAAAAATTTTCTGGCAGTCTTTTACTAATACATATAAAAGGGCCAAAGTACTAGATGGGTTTTTGGGGGTTTTTTTCCCCCTTTGGGTACTCGCCAAGTACCCCCCCCGGGAGTTTCTCTTGATGGTTCAGTAGCAACCCCCGGGTTTCCAGCTGGGGCCCGGGGTTATTGCACAATTGCCAACATGCTTACCATAAACGGGGAGCACAACTCTATATCATCATGTGCTTTAATGGGGAGGTAGTCTTGGGAGATTAAATCTGTAGAAAAACTGTGTCCAACACCTAGATAAAGGGAAGAAAGGGCTCACGAAAAGTGTACTTTTTTTAACGGGTTAGTGGGTAATGTTCATGAGATCCCCCCACGGGGAACTGTATACATTACTGTGCTTTACTGTTAGATGAAACATGTAACGGGAAAGGGATTTTTTTGAGTTTTTAACCCTTTCAGCCCAAGCAGATTAAAGTTTCCCAAACCGGGTCACTGAAGCCTTTTAAAAAATCCCCCAACGAAATACAAACACAAAATTTGCCCCATTCTTAAAACGGGCCGGGAAAATGAAAACTTAAGTGATGGGCGACAACGGGGCTGCCAGACATTGGGAACAAAAAAAGAAAGGGAGGGGGCCCCCATTTGGGGAATTTTCCCTACTAAAAATTTTTTGTACTTAGAAAATTATCTTTTTTAAAAACCCAAATTAAAATTATGCATACTTACAGACTTTAAATTTGCAGTTACATTCATTGCAAAAAATTCAGCCATAACCTTTTTTTTTTTTTTTTTAAAACCAAAAAGCTTTTAAAAACTGTCTGAAACTTTTTTGAAAATTTAAATTTTGGGTTTCTAGCAATGAAATTTAGATTTGGGACGCAAAACTCTTGCTCCAACATTAACAGATTTTTGGTCCAGGGTCCATTTTATTGCCCAAGGGCCCAAACCCAACTTTTTATAAAAAAAAAAGAAGCGCTAAGCCACAAGGACTATACAGCGCTGCAGGGCGGGAAAGGGAAAGGGCGAGGGATCAGGGGGAAAAAGGGGAAGGGAAATGAGAAATAGGTTACCGGTTTAAACAATGTGGAATTTGGGTGAAGGGAAAAGGGCAGAAAGAAAAACGAACAGAAAGGGCGGGAGGGGAGTGCGAAAATATCACAGAGTTTTGGAGTAAATAAAGTCGTTGCCCAAGAATTCAATGAGAAGGTCAGGATTAAAGGGGGGTCCATCAGCAAAAAGGGAAAGGGTAAAGAGAAGTATTTAGAACGAAGACGCCGTTGGGGGAAAATTTCCTGCGTGCTCTTTGTAGAGAGGGCAGTCTAACAAAATGTGGTAATCGATACGGGAACTTGACACGCTCACAGAGAGGAACGGGGGTGCCTCCTCCATGAGATCCCCGGAGTAAGAAAATTGGGGCCAATGCAAAGGCCCGGGAGAGAGTGGTCCCCCAACTGGGCACTGATGACAAAAAGACGGGCCAGAAACCCCATGCCGGTTTTAATAGAATAAGTTTGTTCCCGGGAAGGCAATTTGGACCAGCGTTTTTCCCAAACGGGTGCAAAGGGTTTGGGAAAGCTTTTTGCAGCAAAATAAAAGTGGACCCCCTTTAAAAAGATTTTTTTTTTCACTCCAAAAGAAAGTTTCAGGTGCAGTATTTGACCGAATTTTTTTCCCATAAGGAATAGGGAAAAGTAGATTATTCCATTTCAAAACCCCCAAACATACCATACAAACGCACTTACATAAATACATTTACATAATTGGTCGAAATTTGGAGGTAATCGTTATGGGGGGGTTTCCACTGTAGTCCAAAAAGGGAACACCCCCGATAGGAAAATTGGTAGGTCATGTACTCAACCGCGCAGCATGTCTGCCTGTTAAATTGCCCTGTACTTTGGGACATGACCAGGGCCCAAACCCAAAAAACAATATTTTTTATTTTTGGGTTAAAAAAGATAGGGGCGTCCCCAAAGTTGGTTTTTACGGAAACTAGGGGAGATAAACCCAAATTTTTTCGTTTTAGCCTGAAAGAGCCCTAAGGGATTTTGAGACACTAAAAATTTATGAAAACCGGGCATAGATGCAAAAACAAAAGTGCGGGCAAGAATGGCATACAGTTCAGGGGAAAAAATGCTACTAAAAAGATAGTAAATCCCCCTTCACGACCTGCCGGGGAAAACACTGTTTGCAAAATCCGACCCTTTCTGAAGATTTAGAGCCATCTGGTACACAGCAGGGGTGAAAAAGGGAGGGAATTTATAAAGAAAAAGAGACGGGAAGCCACTGTAGGCATTTGACTTTCGAGAAAGGAGTGAGAAAGAAAAACCCCCGAACAGCTGGAACCCCAGGGGGGTTGGAAAAGTGAGTGCTACTTTAACTTTAAAAAGGGTGGTAACTAAAGGGGAAAAAGAGTGAATGTGGGGCGAAGAAAAAGGGGCGGCGAACAAAAAAAGGGAAGGGTCTACAATATGGGTGACCATTCAAAAAATGGAAGGCTTGGAAATTTTCGTGAGAGCGTACTATTAGCAAAGGGGAAAAGGCATCACGGCAATCAGACAAGGGAAAGGGAAACCCTTCGCTCTGTAAAAGGGGCTCTCAACGGGGAAAGACAAAAAGCACCGGGGGCAAAAACGAAATTTCCTTGGTGAGGGATAGATTTAAGGCTGAGAGAGTAGCAGGAAGGCCCGCGGAATAAATCTGGTCCCACAATTGATTTCGATAAAACGGGGTTTTAAAATTGGGGCCAAGCAGAGTTTTCGGCGATCTTCTCCCCAGGAAAGATGAAATTTTTTTAAAAGAATTTTTAGTCGGCTGTGCCAAGTTGCCTTTCAAAGGTAATTTTAGGTTTCCAGGATAACCTACGGCCCCAAAAAGAAAGGCCTAAAAAACCTGCCCTGAAACACGTTGGGGGATAGGGGAAAGCCATAAGAATAAAAAGGGATAAATGGGAGATAACAAGCGCCCTTTTGAAATAATTGGTGATTTTTTGGTACTTAAAAAATTTAAACCCATGCGGGGGGGCCCCCAAGAAAACAGGTCGAGGGGCATGGGGGAGAGAAACTCCCAATAAGAACAGTCAGGGGCCTGCACAAGAAAAACGAAGTCATCAACATAGAGTAAAGCCCAAAATATTGGGTGGAAGAACAGGGGGCCAAATCATTTATAGCAAGGAAAAAAAGTTTTTGTGCTTAAAACACCCCCCTAGGAAAAACCTTCATTTGGACAAAGCCCGGGGGAAAGAACATTTTTGACTCGAACCCCGGAAAATGCTGTCTTAAAAAAGTTTTTAAAGGAAGGATGGTAGATTCCCCTTGGGGGGGCCAAAGGAAAGGGGCCGGGGGCCAAAATATTATACCTCCAAGTTGGGGGTCATATCCTTTTTCAAGGTCAAAAAATATGGCAATAACTGAGTGATTATTCGCAAAGGCATTACGAACATACGTATCCAAGGGGAGTAAGGGGTTTTTTTGGTAGAACGACCCTTACAAAGCCAAAAATGACTAGGGGAGAGACTTTTGTGTGCCCTCTAAATCCACTTTAAAAACGTCGATTTATGAGACGTTCCATCACTTTGCAAATTTGAAAACAGTAAAGCAAAGGGAAACGATAGTGGGAAGCATCATGCCCCTGATCCCCGGGTTTGGGGGGAAAGGGGAAAACAAGGGCAGTTTTCCACAGCTGGGGAAAAAATTTTCCTTGTCCCCAAAAATTAAGATTGAAGGGGTTTGAAAAGAGGACAAAAAAGGGGGCGGACCGATTTTAAATTTTTGAAACATACGAATATAAAATTCGTCGGGCCCAGCGCCAAAGGTCGGCAAGCTGAAGCTTTTGCCCCCCATTTTTTTGAAGTGAAAAAAAGGGGGCCCATTAAACTTTTATTTCTCTGAGAGAAAAAGCCAAGGGAAACAAAAACCCCTGGCAGACTTTGAGGAAAGAAACGGGGGGGCATAAAAGGAGCCCCTCGGGAAATAGGGCCCCGATGTGGCCAAGCTCAATGGAAAACGTCGAGATTTTTGGGCTACACCCAACACCAGCGACCCTAAAAAACAGGAGGGCAGGAGAGAATTTACCACCCCAATTTTTCCTCATTTTTTTTCCAGACTGAAACTCAAGAAGAAGCGGGAGGTGATGGTGGAAACATAGTCTCCCCAACAAGTGGGGGTTTGTTTCAGGGATGACCCCGGCGACGATCGCACGCTTTCTGCTAAAAATCAAGAAGCCCTCTCGGGCGGTTTTTATTGTCCCGGGTACCTGCCCCATGCACACTTTTTCAAACGTAACTGCACGGGGCACAACGGAAACCACCAAGGCAGGGCACTTTTTAGAAGCCTCCTGAGGTTTGGGGTATAGAATGAAAAAACTGCGGTATAAACAGACGTCGAAAAAAGGGTGTAGGAGCTCACCCAATGGGGGTGAAAAAGGGAAAACCTCACTAAAAGAAAGTGAGGTGTGAGAAAAAACCCAAATTTTGGGGCCCATCAAATTGCCACGAGGGCTACGGAAAGGTGGTGAAATGGGAAGGAGAATTTAAAAAATTACGGAAAATGATCGTTGTCTTTGAAAGGGTCCGGTAGAAAAATACCGGGTAAATTTCTAGTGCAGTGGGGGGAAAAGGGGCAACTGAAAATCGATTAAAGAGAAGAATGGTCCGGGGGATAAAAAATGGGGGGGAGTACCCGTTTTTTAAAAAAAGGGGGGGGGTGAAGGCGAGAAAAACCTCCAACGGATCCCCACGGAGTCAAAAAGAGACCCCCCCCAAGGGGAAAGGTTGGGCAAATAAAATCCCAAGAAACCAGAAGTGGGGGGTTTTTTTAAGGATAAACAAGAAAGGCAAAGTCGGGATAAAAAAAAGCTGGGAGAAGGAGAGAGATAAAAAGAACAAATTTGTAAACCACTTTTTCCCAAGGGATAGGGGGTGCATTTAATCCCGCGAGGAAAGGACAAATATTACAGTAAGGAAATTAAAAGGCGTAGAAAAGGGCACTTTCTTTAAATGGCCCCAAATTTGAGAAAGAAACCGAAGAATAAAAAAAAATTATAGCCGGGAAAAGGGTTGGAAGACACCCCGAGTGAAATTTTTTGGTTCTTGTAAGCAAGCACCAACAGGGAAAACCCGGGAAAGAAACCCTCTGAAGCTCCCCCCCCCCGTTTTACCCGGGGCCCCCGCGGATTTTCCACTGAAATGGGCCCATGATTGGTGATGAAGAAAATACCAGGAATCTGTAGGTAAAAAGCACCTAGGGAAACTA